CAACCAACAGCCATCAGTTGCTCCTCCATATCTCCGAGACCACCTCTGCCCACTTCCCTCGTTCATTCAGTTTTTTAGATTCCACATATAAGTGTAATCATATGGTATTTGTCTTTCTCCAACTGACTTGTTTCACTTAACATAATAGTCTCTAAGTCCATCCATATCGTCCCAAATGGTACGATTTCATTCTTCTTTATAGTGGAGTAATACTCCATTGTCTAAATGTACCGCAGTTTCTTAATCCAGTCATCTACCGATGGGCATTTCTGAACTCCTTGTTTATTGATTGGTACTTGATTCTCCTGTTTGCCTAGTAGCTCTGGCTTGTCTCCTCTTACTGGAGGACAATATCAGACTCCAGACTTGTTTTGTGACTAAAAACATGCTGTGATCCTGAATGTGGAACCCTAGTCTCCTTGCCACCTGGGAGTTTTGGAGTCGTATTGGAGCTTGTGAGGGTGCTTGAAACTCAGCCAATAGCAAACAACTGAAATGGTGTCTTCCTGACTCCACACGCTACCCCATACAATAATACCTTGGTTTGCAAGCATAATTCATTCTGGAAACAAACTATTCGTATTGCAACACATCACTCGTTTACCACGTTAAAATGTATTAGAAATGTTTGCTCGTCTTGCGGAACATTCGCAAACCAAGTTACTCACAATCCAAGGTTTTACTGTAGTTTCTTTCCCCTTTGTCCAGTTTCTTCATGTCCATTCATCCTGAGTTTACTCACTGAAGATAGCTTCTTCTGAGCCATTTGGGGCAGGCCTTCTTTCTTTCTTACTCCCACATTTTATCAGTGTCCCTCCATGCCTTAGGAGCCTGTCCTCTCTTCCCCAACCCCTGCCACTACCTTGGTCTAGGCCAGTGGTTCTCAACCTTCCTAATGCCGCGACCCCTTAATACAGTTCCTCATGTTGTGGTGACCCCCAACCATAAAATTATTTTCATTGCTACTCTATAACTGTAATTTTGCTACTGTTATGAATTGTAATGTAAATATCTTTTTGTTTTCCGATGGTCTTAGGCGACCCCTGTGAAAGGGTCATTCGACCCCCAAAGGGGTTGCGACCCACAGGTTGAGAACCACTGGCTAGGCCCT